GACTGAAACTGGACCCACACCTTTCACCATTAACAAAAATTGACTCTGAATGGATAAAAGATTTAAACTTAAGACATGAAACTATAAAAGTTCTTGGAGAGGGTGGTGCCTGTGGCTCAAAGGAGTAGAGTGCCAGCCCCATATGCTGGAGGTGGTGGGTTCAAACCCAGGTCCAGCCAAAACTGCAAAATAAATGAATGAAATAAATAAAATTCTTGGAGAGAGTGCAGGGAAAACACATGAAGAAATTGGCCTAGGAGAATACTTCATGAGGAGTACCCCCCAGGCAATTGAAGCAACACCAAAAATACATTACTGGGATGTGATCAAACCAAAAAGCTTCTGCACGGCCAAGAACACAGTAAGTTAAGCAAGCGGACAGTCCTCAGAATGGGAGTATAAGTGAAATGTCTTTATCTCAGCTTTTCTGAGAGTGAGCATGTACAGATCTTGTTTGGCACAATTCAGGAGAAACTGAGGCATAACTCCATTACAGCCTTTGACCTGACACATAGAAAGTAAAAGCCCTGTGCTCAGAAGTCAGCCAGGGGGCTGGGGCGTGTGTAAGTGCTTCCACCATATGTCTTGGGAATCTCTGGGTTGTGGTTTTACAAGATTAAGTTACTGCCTCCAGATGCCTTGAGGCTTCAAAGAGCAAGCAAACAGTCAGCCTTCTTCCCCACAGCGGTTTCCATCTTTATCAAGATGTGGGTGAACAGCCAAAAGCATGTCTTTTCATGATTGGTATTTTGAGTATAATAGATTACCTAGAAGAATGTGTATTACTTAATCAGTAGACTAGCAGACATCAGAGAAAGATTAATCTATTTTTTACAATATGTTGGTAGGGTAATTGTGTGATTATTGATTAACAGTGTGTATGTGCAACACTGACTATATAGCTGGAGAGAAATAAAGAAGCTTTGCTATTTGCCATCCAAAGGCTTGTAGCTCCCTTTGTTCTGTACTATTCAATTGCAGGCCTATACTCTGCAACACTGACCACACACAAAAGACTTCACAGAACAGAGAAGATATTTGCACATTATGTTTCTGACAAAGGTTTGATAGCCAGAATCCACAGAGAATCAAACTTATTAATAAAAAAAGAACAAGTGATCCCTTTTCACTGTGGGAAAGAGACTTGAACAGAATCTTCTCTGAAGAAGACAGGCGCATGACCTACATACACATGAAATAATGTTCATCATCTTTAATCATCAGAGAAATGCAAGTCAAAACCACTTTGAGATATTATCTAACTTCAGTAATATTAGCCCACATAAGAGAATCCCAATACCACAGATGTTGCCATGGATGTGGAGAGAAGGGAATACTTCTGCACTACTGGTGGGAATGCAAACTAATACATCCCTTCTGGAAAGAAGCTTGGAGAACACTTAGGTAACTAAAAGTTAAACCTGATGTTTGATCCTCCAATTCTTCTGCTAGGTATATATCCAGATAACCAAAAATCACTTTACAACAAAGACATTTGCAGAATAATGTTTATTGCTGCCTAATTCATAATTGCCAAGTCAAGGAAGCAGCCCAAGTGCCCATTGACTCATGAATAGATTAGCAAATTTGGATACATAAATATATATATGTCCAAATATATATATAATGGAATATTATGCAGCCATTACAAAGATGAAGACTAATTCTTTTATGTTTACACAGATGAAGCTGAAAAATATTCTTCTTAGTAAAGTATCTCAAGAATGTGGAAAAAATTCCTGATGTATTTAATACAATTATGAAATCAATATATCATATGAAAGATAAAACCCAATTATAGCCCAGAAAGAAGGAGAGAATAGGAGGGCAAGGGGAGAGGAAGGGGTAGATGGGTGGAGGGTGGGACCTCATCTACTGTGCATATTGCAAGGCTACATTTCAAATATAATAAAAGTATAGTATAAATGTCTAAACACAACAATTAAATAAGTGAGGTGAGTGATATGTTAACCAGTTTGATGTAAGCATTTCTAATCACATATAAAATCAGCACTGTATCCCATAAAAGCAGTAATGTACACAGTTATGATCTAATAAAAAATAAATAAATAAAACTAATTAATATGTAAAAGAAAAGGAGATCTATTTATTAAGATGCTATTTAACATTATAATGGAAGTTTTATCCATCAAAATTAGGGAAGAAAAGGCAATTAAGCACATCCATATATGGTCAGAAGAGATTAAACTTTCACTTTTCGCAGATGATATGATTATATATCTGGAAAACATCAGGGATTCAACTGTAAAACTCTTAGAAGTGGTCAAGGAATACAGTAGCATCTCAGGTTACAAAATCAACACTCATAAATCTGTAGCCTTTATATATACCAACAGCAGCCAAGTTGAAAAAACAGTCAAGGAATCTATTCCATTCAAAGTAGTGCCAAAAAAGATGAAATATTTGGGAGTTTACCTAACAAAGAATGTGAAAGATCTCTATAAAGAGAACTGTGAAACTCTAACAAAAGAAACAGCTGAAAATGTTAACAAATGGAAAAACATACCATGCTCATGGCTGGGAAGAATCAACATTGTTAAGATGTCCATATTACCCAAAGCAATATATAATTATAATGCAACCCCCATTAAAGCTCAACTGTCATATTTTAAAGATCTTGAAAAGATAATACTTCATTTTATATGGAATCAGAAAAAACCTCAAATAGCCAAGACATTACTCAGGAATAATAAGGCAGGAGGAATCACACTACCAGACCTCAGATTATACTATAAATTGATAGTGATTAAAACGGCATAGTACTGGCACAAAAACAGAGAGGTAGACATATGGAACAGAATAGAAAGCCAACAGATGAATCCATCTACCTACCGTTACCTGGTCTTTGACAAACCCATTAAAAACATTGAGTGGGGAAAAGATTCCCTATTTAACAAATGGTGCTGGGCAAACTGGCTGGCAACCTGTAGAAGACTGAAACTGGACCCGCACCTTTCACCATTAACTAAGCTAGACTCTCACTGGATTAAAGATTTAAACTTAAGACATGAAACCATAAAAATACTAGAAGAAAGTGTAGGGAAAACACTTGAAGAAATCAGCCTGGGCAAAAATTTTATGAGGAGGACTCCCCGGGCAATTGAAGCAACATCAAAATACACGATTAGGACCTGATCAAACTAAAGAGCTTCTGCACAGCCAAGAACACAGTGAGTAAAGCAAGCAGACAGCCCTCAGAATGGGAGAAGATATTTGAAGGTTATGTCTCCGACAAAGGTTTAATAACCAGAATCCATAGAGAACTTAAATGTATTAGCAAGAAGAGAAAAACAAGTTATCTCATCTCAGGGTGGGCAAAGGACTTGAAGACGAATTTCTCTAAAGAAGATAGGCATATGGCCTATAGATATATGAAAAAATGCTGACCATCCTTAATCATTAGAGAAATGCAAATCAAAACTACTTTGAGATATCACCTAACTCCAGTAAGATTAGCCCATATCACAAAATCTCAAAACCAGAGATGCTGGCATGGATGTGGAGAAAAGGGAACATTTCTACACTGCTGGTGGGAATGCAAGCTAATACTTTCTTTTTTGGAAAGACGTCTGGAAAACACATAGAGAACTAAAAATTGACCTGCCATTTGATCCTGCAATTCCTTTATTAGGTATATATCCAGAAGACCAAAAATCACATTACAACAAAGATATTTGGTTTTTGTTTTGGGGGGGTTTATTTGTTTTGTTTTTTGGAGACAGAGCCTCAAGCTATTCCCCTAGGTAGAGTACCGTGGCACAGCTCACAGCAACCTCCAACTCCTGGGCTCAAGCGAGTCTCTTGTCTCAGCCTCCCAAGTAGCTGGGACCACAGGTGCCTGCCACAACACCCGGCTATTTTTTGGTTACAGCTGTCATTGTTGTTTGGCGAGCCGGGGCTGGATTCGAACCCGCCACCTTAGGGAAAAGGTGGCTGGCACCTTAGCCATTTGAGCCACAGGTGCTGAGCCCAACAACAAAGATATTTGTATCGGAATGTTTATTACAGCCCAATTCATAATTGCCAGGTCATGGAGGAGCCCAAGTGCCCATCAATCCACAAATGGATCCATAAACTGTGGTATATGCAACATGGAATACCATTTGCAACATGGAATGCTATGCAGCCGTAAAGAAAGATGGAGACTTTACTTCCTTCATGTTTACATGGATGGAGCTAGAAAATGTTCTCCTTAGCAAAGTATCACAAGAATGGAAGAAAAAGTATCCAATGTACACAGCCCTATTATGAAACTAATTTATAGCTTTCATATGAAAACTATAACCTAATTATAGCCAAGAATATAGGGAGGGGGGAGGGGGATGGAATGGGAGGGGAAGATGGGTGGAGGGAGGGTGACTGGAGGGATCATCTCTACGGTTTATCTTACAAGGGTACAAGTGAATCTTTTTAAGAGTAGAATATAAACATCTTAACACAATAAGAAAATGACATAAAGGCTATGTTAACCAGTTTAATGAAAATATTTCAAATTGTATATGAAAACATCACAGTGTACCCCATGATTGCATTAATGTACATAGCTATCATTTAATAAGAAGAAAAAGATGCTATTGGCTGGAGGTGTACATGGTGTGATATACACTGTCATAAGTATTAAGTGACAGCTGAGGAATTGTCACTCTTTCCCAGAGTTTTTTAATTTCTACTGACATCTGAAAACAGCCAATTCTTCATTGTGGAAGGCTGACCTGGGCATTGTAGGGTGCTGAGCTGTGTCCTTGTTCTCTATTTACTAGACACCAACAGCACACGTTCCCCCTAATCCTGGAGTTCTGACAACCAAGTTTTCCCAGACATTGACAGATGACCTTTAGGGTTGAGGGCAAAATTGCAATTGGATGAGAATGAGTCTCTCCTACAAATGAGAAGAAAATATGCTATCATTTACAGCAGGGGAATGATGTGATGAGATGGACCAGCTGTTTCCCAAGCCCAGGTCTCACCCCAACACTTACCCAAACATTCACTTGTGACTTTGTCTTTTCACTCTTGTTTTCTGGTGAGGGAGAAAAGTAGCCATTAAATGGGATCTTGGACATAACTCACCCTCACTCTTCACTTCTTCCAATCAATCACTCTCAACTTGAGTTTTTCCCTTATGCTTCTGCAGCCCACCCTAATTATTCTCTAAGAAATCCAAAATGGATCCTACCATAGAATTATAAAAGGGAATTAGAATACAGCTTCCAGGTTAATACTTAAGTCAACAGTATATATTGAGCACCTACTCTAGACATCATGTTAAACCACATGTATATAGGTTAGTGAAAGAGGCCAAGGGTGTCCTCCTGTGGATTTTAAAGTCTGGAAGGAAAGGTATTAAGTAAATATTTACAAACAAATGATAAAGTGGCTGCAAATGATTCTCTTAATAAACAGGTCATGATGACATAGGGATACACCTCAGAGGACGTGGACACATCAGGGTTGCATGGAAGACTTCTTGAAGGAATTCCCATTAATTGAATTAATAATATAGAACCAGTTGTCTACACATGGCTTCTACATTACATCAGTCTAGGTCATGCAGAAGGCTCAATATCAGTCTTATGAAGCATAATAAAAATATTTATTGAGTCTTCCTAAGTACATAGGACTACCAAGTGCTTTACATGCATTAATAATAATACAGAGTAGGTGAGGTGTGTTAGGTTGCTAGGGCTGCCATAACATATTGCCAAAGATGACAGATTCTGTGTTGTGATGACTATGTGAGAGTAGAGTAGGAAAATGACCCAAAGTCTTTTCCTTTCTTTCAGCTATGGTAGGATGACAAATATGTTCTTAATTAATTGCCACCACACTAAGGGAAGTTGGAATGGAAAGGAGAGGTGGTTTATTATCCTGTCCCTTGAATTTACATTTGGAAAGCCAAGGTTCTGGGAGCCAGTTGATTTTATCAATCATAGGTCCTGCAGTTAAGGAACCAAGATCTCTTTAAGGAATCCATAGGAATCTACTCAGCCTCTTACCTGTTTCTGAAGAAGCAGAACTCACAATCGAGACACTCAGATGCACTCTTTGGAGGAATTGGGTAGCCTTTCTTGCAATGCCTTTTCTGTTTCCATTCTTGTTCAGATTTTCCTTTCCAAAAAAAATAAAGATAATTAGGTAGACTCTCATAAAGCTTCAGAAAGCAAGAGTATTCATAAATGCAGTTTGGGTGAATCCAGAGACAATATTTATTGGTTACAACTAGATAGTGTTAACATGAATTTTAGACACTGATGAAAAGCTTTAAATGGCAGATGAGACATTGTTACTCTTTCCCAGAGTGTCTTAATTTCTACTGACATCTGAGACCAGTTAATTCTTGGTTGTGGGAGGCTGTCCTGGGCATTGTAAGATGTGGAGCTGTTTCCTTTGTCTCTGTTTACTAGATATCAGTAACACAACTTCCCCCTACTCCTAGTATCCCTAGACATTGATAGATGATCCCTGGAAGATATAACAAAATCTGTGCTGGATGAGAACTATTCTATCCTAAAAATCACAGGGAATGAGGCCTGTGTGAAAGCTGGAGAATGATTTAGTGAGATGGACCAGATGTTTCCCAAACTCAGGCTTCACCCACTTACCTCAATATTTGCATGTATCTGCGTCTCTTCACTACTCTTCACTGTGGGAGAAAAAAGTAGCCATTAAATTGGATATGGGAGAAAACCCACCCTGGCTCACACCACTTCTTCCAATCACCTTCAATTTGGGTTTTTTCCTGATGTTTTGAAACCCACCCTGATTCCCCTCTCAGAAATTCAAAATATGTTACAGTGGACTTATAAAAGGAATTATAATGTGGCTTCCAGTTTAATACTTCATGGAATAGTACTTATTGAGCACCTATTCAAAACCAGACATGATGTTGAACCATGTGGATACAGGTCAGTGAAAGGAACCAAAGGTGTTCTTCTGTGAAGTTTGCAGTCTGGAGGGAAAAGCATTAACCAAATAATAACAATTAAATAACTAAGTGATTGAAAGTGATGTTATTAATTAATAGGATTTGATAACATGGAGATACACTTCGGAGGACCTCAAAACATCTGAGTTACAAGGAAGGCTTCCTGAAGGAATCAGCATTAATTGATAATACAGGAGTAGCTGTTCACACATTGCATCCATAGTATCTCATTCAAGGGAATACAGAAGGTTGTATAAGAGGGTTATGAAGCATAATACCTAATATTTACCTAGCCTGCTTAGGGACCTGGGACTGCTAAGTATTGTGCATGCATTAATAAACATAAAGAGTGGGTGAGGTGTGCTAGTTTGCTGTAACATAATGCCACACACTGGGTGACTTAAAGCAACTTAAATTTACTGTCTCACAGCTCTGGAGGCTTGATGTATGCTTGAGATACCATAAGGACCATGTTCCTTCTGAAGACTGTAATAAAGAAACTTCTAGACATGTCTTCTGGTCTTTTCCAGTGACTTTGGCTTTCCTCGGGTTGTGGCAGCACAACTCCAGCCGATGTCTTCACATAGCCCTCTTTCCTCTTTGTGTGTCTTTCCTAATTTCTTTTTATAAGAACACAAGTTATATGGGATTTCTACTGTGATCTAGTAGGACCTCACCTTAACTTAATGAAATCCTCAAAGACCTTATTTCCAAATAAGGTCATACATACAGGTTCCAGGCAACCATGAATTTGGGCTTTCACCCCATAAGCTGGATTCTGAAATGGCTTCCATTAATCCCTGGCATTCACATTCTAATGTAATTTTCTCCCATTAACAGTGGACTGATCACCTCTATGGTTTATCTCACAAGGGTACAAGTGAATCTTTCTAAAGGTAGAATATAAATGTCTTAACACAATAACTAAGAAAATGACATGAAGGCTAAGTTAACCAGTTTGATGAAAATATTTCAAATTGTATATGAAAACACCACACTGTACCCCATGATTGCATTAATGTACACAGCTATGATTTAATAAAAATAATTAATAAATAAATAAATAAATAAATAAAAATTAAAAAGCAGTGGACAGGACTCATTGATTCATCACTAACAAACAGAGCACAGAAGAACTGGTAAGGTGTGACTTCTGTGATTAGGTTACAAGAGAATTAATTTTATCTTATTCACACTCTCTGGCAGTGTTAAGGACTTTGCTATAATAAAGTGTTAGAAGCCCACATATCTAGGAAATGATGACTGCCTCCCAACAACCACTACAAAGGAACTGAAGGCTTCTTAAGAAATGTTCTTAAGAAACTAAATCCTTCTAGTGACCATGTGAGTGAGCATGGAAGCAGATCCTATTGCAGTCAAATGCCCAGATGACACCATGGTCTGGAAAACACACTGATGGCTGCTGTGATAGATCCTGAAATGAAGGACCCACCTATGCTGTACCTGGGCCCACAGGAAGGATGTAACAGGAGGAGGAACAAGATGGCCAACTGCGCCAGCTTTCAACAGAAGCTCCCATCCGGAGGGAAGGATTATGATCAGAACATACCCAACATTGCTGAAGACTGGAAGCCAAGCAGAGAGAAAAGAGTAATAACTGCACGTCACCTCTGCTGAGGCAAGCTGCGACTCCAACTTAGCAAATTTCAGGTACAAAACTATCCAAAAGGAAAAGTATCCACTCCCCCAAGAATGTTTTTTTTTTTTTTTCTTTTTGGCTTGCTGTAGGTTTTCTACAGGTGAGCAGTGAACTGAAGACCTCTTGTCTCACCCCTCAGGAGAGAGTTACAGGAAGTGGGGACTACTTTTCCAGAGAGACCCTGCTGTGACCCTAAGCACTCTTTCCAGGCATGAAAGTTGAACTAATGTTTTCCCTGCCATTTTGAACTTCCAGTCCACACTCCCCCACCTTATCTGATGGTCCAGAAATCTAACCCCTTGCAGAGACCAGAATGTCTGCAGTTCATTGCCAGGTCTGGGCCATGAAAGGACCATGGTAGAAAAGATACACTGTAACAGTGAGCCCAGCAGTAGTGCAGACAAAGTGGGGAGGCTGTCAGGCTTGGCTCCACAAAAGTGCAAACCAGTTGTGGGAGGAAGCTTGCAAGCCATAAGCCCCTCCCTGATGGAACCAAGACACCAGACCACGCACCACTTACCCAGAGCTGCTCATCATGCACCCTACCCTGCCAGAGCCACGTGCCCCAGGCTTTACCCAGCCAAAGCCTCTGACCACAAGCCCCACCCTGCCTGAGTCACTGTGCACCCGCCCTGCCAGAGCTGATGGGTGCACCACTCTATCAGAGCCGTGCATTGCAAGCTCACCCTGCTGCTGGAGCTGTGCACCATGCAGTCCCAAAGAAGCCACTACAGCCACCTCCCTGGCCAAGGGAGCCACCTGATAGATGCACAGGGACACCTTCCATGAAGATTTAGCAACAGTAGAGTGATCCTACTAGGGTCAAATCTTGGAGAGACACCTCCCCAACTCTAAGGACTGCCAGACCTCACCCTATAGGAATACCAGTGCTGCAGAGCAACTGGGGCAAATATGCATTGGCTGAGGGACAAAATCATTTGCTGTCTTGTTTTCCTCAGGTTCAGACTGATCTCAGGTGGAATACTCTAAAGTTGCCATTGAGTACCCAAGGAAGGCAGGCCAGCAGGTAGCAGAGGGTGGTGGCCGGGCTGAGGTGGCATTGACTTTCCTTTGACTCTGGCAGATGCAAAGCCCTGGAAAATCTGCTTATTGGAGGGAGCAGGACCACAGCCCCGTGGGGTTACCAGTGACTGGGCATGAAAGAGGAGCAAGGTGGAGAAAGAGATACCAGCCCCCTCATCCAACTCTACTACTGGGTGGGCATTTCTGACTCCACAGAGTGCCAGAGTGAGCCACATTTGAGCACCCAGTAGTCCTCTGCTATCTAATTGCTGGAGACCTTTTGAACTCTCCCACTTGAGAGTTGAGAGTTTGTACTGACTGGGTCAATTGGTTTGGAACTCCTAACCTGGGCCAATCACCCAGGACCCTCTCAGGTGGTACTCTGGTTGTGTGTCAATGAGAAGGGTTGATTTTCCTCTCCCAGGTATTGTCCATAGCGGGTGGGGTGGGTGTCCTAGTTGCTTCTATTTCTCCAGAGCTGAGATTTCAACCCTGAGTCACTGATCCACTGGGATCAGAAAAAGACCAGCTAAACACAAGACAGAGCCACCTATCCCCACCACACCAAGTAGGTCCCCAGAACCTCAGAATGTATGGGTCCTGGGTAAAGCTGTAGGGGAAAAAGCAACAGTCACCAGACCCAGATCATTGGGAAAGGACTGGTTAAATACAACTACAGGAGCCCCCAATCCAATTTCATCTTATCTGCCCATCTAACCAAACAGTAAAAAATAATCATGGTGTGCATTCAGCAGAAAAATTCTGGCAACATGAATAATCAGAGTAAATCAACTCCCCCAAGAAATGACAAAACAGACACACCAGATGATCTCATTTGTTAACAAATTGCTGAGATGTGAAAAATTGAGTTCAGAATTTAGATGGCAAAGAAGATCAACAGAATAAAGGTAAAGATGGAATTAGAATTTCAAGGAGTAATTCAAAATTTGTCTCAAGAATGCAATGAATTAAAAGACAAAATCACCAAAGATTTTGACACATTGAGAAAAGAACTTGCAGCCCTCAAAGATCTCAAATATACAGTAGAAATCCTCAGTAACAGAGTAGAGCAGGCAGAATAAAGGATCTCTGACATTGAAGACAAAGCTTTTGAACACTCCCAAATGCTCAAAGAGGAAGAGAAGTGGACAGCAAAAATGGATCATTCTCTCAGAAAGCTCTGGGATAATTCAAAGGGAACTAATATTCACCTTATAGCAATTCCTAAAGGTGATGAGGTTGCTTCAAAAGGCACAAATGCTCTACTGAAAGAAATAATCAAGGAGAACTTCTCAAACATGGCACGAGATTCTGAAATTCAGGTAGCAGACTGTCTCAGAAACCTAGCCTGACTCAACCTGAATAAGACATCTCCTAGACACATTATAATTAACTTCACCAAAGTTAAAATGAAAGAGAAAATTCTGCAAGCAGCCAGATGTAAGAAAACCATAACCTACAAGGAAAAGAATGTTAGAATGACTGCATATTTCTCTGATGAAACCTTTCAAGCTACAAGAGGGTGGTCATGACTTTTAATCTCGTAAAACAAAATAACTTTCAACCCATGATCCTGTATCCAGTGAAACTGAGTTTCATTTATGATGGAGAAATTAAATACTTTAATGACATTCACATGTTGAAGAAATTTGCCATAACTAAACCAGCACTCCAAGATATTGTCAGACCTATTCTCCTTAATGACCAGCAAAATTATCCACCACAAAAGTAAATTCACTCAGAAATTTTTGATCAAATTCCAAATTCTACAGTTGTGAAAGGATTTAAAATATCCACTGGACTTTCAAAATACTTGATACCCCAAATACTACCAGGCTTGTCAGTACTCTCAATTAATGTGAACAGCTTAAACTGGCCTCTACAGAGGCCTGATAAAAAAAACTCAGGCCAGATATCTGCAGCATACAAGAATCTCATCTTACCTTAAAAGATAAATATAGACTCAAGGTGAAGGGATGGACATTTGTATTTCAGGCAAAAGTAAATCAGAAAAAAGCAGGTGTTGCAATTTTAT